TGGTGCCCACCCTCTCTAGAGTGAAAACCTCCCCCCCCCCCCCAAAAAAAATTTGCAAGAACACAGGATGGTCTGCATGGCCTGGCGGGTCTCTCTCCCTGGCAGAGCGCTGTTTCTCCCCTTTGACTAATTCGAGGCAGCAGTGGGGGCTTCCTCCAGGGTAAGGCTGCAGTGTTCTGGCTGGGGAAGCTGGGACGTGTTGATTTCCTGTGGCCACTGGGAACCTCACAGTGAGTGGCAACCTCCTATGGGCCACTGGGCCAGCTGACAAGTCGTGCCTGGTTTGTTTTTCCCCAGGCATAACATGTGACTGGACTCTTCCTTTTTATCCTCTGGCATAAAATCCTCTCTTTCCCAATAAGCTGGCTCAGCTGCGATCTTCCTGGAGGTTCCATGGAGGAAGAGGGTGCTGTTGGTGAAGGCTGCTGTGGTCTCACTGAATATTTATAACCACGTATTTCCATTTAGCTGTTGAGGAAACTAAGGCCCAGAAAGTTAAGTGAATCGTTCAGAGCTACATAATAGAAGATTCAAAAGTAGAGTTTCCTGTTTCCTAACCCCAGACCTCAACTTTACAAAGCATAATGGAAATGAGATAGAACCAATAGGTCATTTATGTTTTTCTTTGCATTTTGTATTAGGATATGTTCCTTCTTTCAGTGATCTTTTTAGGGGCCTCTCATTTTATAGATAAGGGGAAAGAAGTCCGGGCAGGAGCAATGACTTGTTCAAAAATAATCTGTTGATTAGAGGTGGAATTAGTAGGTGGTCGAGAAAGTCGTGACGTGTATGTTTCTGTTTTTTCTGTGCAAAAATGCTTCATGACTTTCCTGTCAGCCAAATAGGAATAGAGTCATCCTTGCTGACCAGTTTGCTAACGTCAGCTCCTTGAGTCCTACGGGACTTCTTGTGGGCACAAGCCTTGGCTGGCACATCTGGATGGGAATGGAGTGGACAATGCCGAAGTCTGGTTCTGGTTATTACTGGGGAATCCCCAGTGGTGGGAGCTAGCCAAGACCTTTGGGGACGCATCCTGACTACCTGTGTATGACTCCTCTCTTTCCTCCTTTGTGCGTGTGTCTCAGAGGAGAGAGCACAGCGCCTTCTCAGAGGGCACGTGTCCTTCCATTCACTTCATGTGCCTACACATTTTTTAACAACCAATCTTATTTTTTTTCTTCCTGCTTTTCCCAGGCCTCCCAGATGATTGTGTCCTATGATGAACATGATGTCAACAACACATTTAAATTTGGGGTCATTTATCAAAAAGCCAGACAGGTAAGCATTGCGAATTTATACTGGCCCCTGCATCCTATGAGTTCTCACTGAGGACTCTTCTTTTTCCCCCATCCCAAACAAAGGACCCTTGAACTACTGGGTTGTCAGGAAAGTCATGATGCATTTTTGCATAGAAAAACAGAAAAATACATCCTGATTTTTTGACAACCTGATGGGTTCTTAAACATTCCTTTAAATTTATTTATTTAATTCCATTTGTTATTATTTTTTAATTTGACCAGAGAGAGACGGAGAGAGAGAGAGATAGGGAAAGGGAGAAACCAAGTTGCCAGGCCTGGGACTTGAACCACTGTCGGCCAAGTGGGAATCCAGCGCTTTTAACCACCATGCTACCTGCTGACTCTGGTTCTTAAACATTCTTAATATGATCGTCACATTTAAAGTATGAACTAGACTTTAGGTGGCAGAATCCCTAAGGGAGGCTACTCTGCCTATAAAAGATCTGGAAATTTTTAAATGATGACAGCTTTTCATACAGTAATTCTAATTCTTCCTGTCTGTCTCATCTTACATTTATCTGTAGCTGTCTCCTAAGAAAAATCAAAATGGGTTAAGGGAATAGAAACCTCTCTTTCCTTGACCTCCATCCTCCCTGGGAGTTAGGAATTAGCTTCTCCTCTGCCCAAATCTCAGTGGTGTTCTTGAGCTAATCATGTGCATCTCTCAGTGACATCAGAATGGTAGCTTGAACTCAGCCATAGTGGAAGTAGTTTATAATTTTCTCTAATTTTAGTTGTATGTTTTATTTAAGCCAATATAGCTGACATACTATCATTTCTAAAAAAGAATTATTTTATTTAACTTTATTTATTTTAATTTGACCAGAGAGAGACAGAGTGAGAGGAAGTGAGAAACCAAGCTGCCAGGTCTGGGACTCGAACTGTGGTCAGCAATGTGGGAGTCCAGCACCCATAGCCACCATGCCACCTGCCTGCTCCATGGTGGAAGTATTTACACCATGGAAACTGGCAAACACTAGGGTTTGTATTTCCCTTCTTTGGAGGACCAGTTGTTAGAAAATTTACCAGTATGCCACTGCTCACTGTCCTTTGTCTCTGGTGACATGACATGCTGCTTTGGAGTTAGCTGCTCAGGTACTGTCTTTCAAACTGTGTTCCTTGAGATGCTATTCTGGTGAGGCACTCTGTGAGCAAATTGAGGAAGGGATGTTAGTGTGTGGGAACCTTTTCAAAACTCTCAGAACTCGTAAGGAAAGGAGTTCTTTTTAATGTTGAATTCAGGGTATTTTATGCTTGTTCGACCATGAACTTCCTATCTTTCCTACATTTTTTCTACCATAAACATTTATTTATATTTATTTATTTTAAAAATTTAGAGTTTTGGAAAACTTTTTAGAAGTTATTTCTTCTGAGAGAAGAGAAAGAGAGGGAGAAAGATGCCCCTAACAAAACAGTCACACCACCATCTACACCGAGCTATGACCAGCTTGGAGTCGCATGTACTTGGTGTGCTCAGGGAGTCCTGGGATGCATGTGGGTCCAGTTGTGTTATTGCTGTGCCACCTTCCAGCCCCTACCATGAACAGATACTAACTCCCCAAGCCAAGTGGTTGGCAGGATACACTGATGTCTCCTCAAAAATAGGTTCGACGAGGGGAACCAGCAGTTAGCGTAATGGCTATGTCGCTGGACTCCCATGTAGTCGACCATGGTTCGCATCCCGGACCCGGTGGCTTAAAACTCACGCCGGGCGCGTGTGCGTACGTGCCCAAGATCCTGAGAGGAGAATGGAGGAGATGGGATTGCAGTGTGACCATCCTCCCTGGGGGGTGATTTCTCGCTTTCTGTCTCTATGTCTCTGTCTGCTGGTGAGTGCACGCGCCCTATAGCGAAAAAATATCCTTTCCATAAAAAAACAAAAAAAAGGTTCGACGAGAGGAAGTTTTACACCCATTTCATCTTAGTATCACTCAAGAGCTTAGTATGGTGGCTTTATATAACTGCACTCGGTTGTTATGTAAATTAGTAAATGAGTAAAGATCTTGTCCTTGCTAATGGCAGATCAATAATATATTCTGATGTTATGCATGTTTTTTTCTTTTTCCATTATATTGTCCTTCCTGGCTAGATGATAGTTGATTTTCTCTTCTGAAGGTATTAGACCACAAAATAGATGTATTCGCTTACCAGCGCTCCACTTAGGTGAAGAGTTTGAGATTTGAAAATACTGATGAATCTTATCATTTAAGCGAGATTATTCAGGTAGCTGCTCTAATTATTTTTATATATTTCCATTTTTACTGTTCGGTTAATACAACCCTCCCAGTTAAAGTTCTTTGCTTGTGAAATTTACCAAAACAGAGCTTATAAGGCAATTACAGTCCAGTGTTCCAGTCACCTTATAATTACTGGAGGTTAACCATCCACCTCTGAGAAGGAGTCTGTGTGCTGTTTATGTGCCTGATGCTGCTGCAGAGGGAATAAGCCAGGAAAATAAAATACCCTTTTTTGAAAGTGAGACAGATTGTTGTTTTGCAAACCTACAGCTGGGGGACATTTCATGTGAACATTTGTTGCATAAAGGCCCTATGATGGTCTTTGGCTATAAATAAGCCTCACCTAAATCTCCTGTTTTATACATACTGTGCCCAGCACTGTGAGGGCGACAGTAGTGACTAAGACCCCTTCCCTGTGTGCTTGATCAAACTCAGGGCCAGTAAAAAAAGAATGACAGTGCTAATACAGGCTGGGCATGGATCCTGCAGGAGAAGCTCATGTCCCAGAACATGCACTGGATTGTTTTCTGGTAGGTGTAGACTGCCTAGAGCCAGCTCCTCTCCCACCCTCTGACCTCATGAACTGGGCAAACAGAATGCTTGGCTGCTGGTCCAATTGAACTTCATGCCATGCTATAGATCAGGGACAACAAACCTTTCTACAAAGGGCCAGATAGCAAATATTTCAGTCTTCATAGGCCTTGGGGTCTCTGTTGCAGCCACTCAGCTCTGCCCTTGTAGGACAGAAACAGCCATGGACATATGTAAGTGAAGTTGGTCTGGCTGTGTGCCAGTAAAACTTGATTTATAAAAATCAGCAGCAGGTGGGGCCAGCATATGGCGTAGTGGTTACATTGCTGGATTCCCACGTGACTGATTGTGGTTCGAGTCCTGGACCTGGTGGCTTGAAAATCATGCAAGGTGCGTGTGCGTGTGTGCCCAAGAGCTGGGAGGAGAATGGAGGAGACAGGATTGTGGCATGGCGATCCCCTGGGAAATGATTTCTCACTTTCCCTCTCACTGTCTCTGTTTCTCTCTCTCTTGTGAGCACATGTGCCCTAAGGCAAAAAAAAAAAACTATTAAAAAAAAGTTGGCAGCAGGTTATACAGAGCAGTTTGTCCCAAATTTCAGACATTCACAAACCACATTCAGGATGTATGTCAGATTGCTTGTTTAACTCTGTGCCACCGCTACAATGTTAATCCACCTTTATGAGAGGTCTTCAAAAGCTCATGGAAAAAATTATTGTGAAAAAATTATACACAGATTTCAAATTTGTGTATAATTTATTCCATTCATATTATTAATTACTTAATTTTTCCGTAAGTCTTTTTTAAGAAAAAGTTAAATGCACTTATTATTAAAGGAAATTATATATTACTATTCTAACTTGAGAACCAGAATTACTCACCATGAAATGAAGGTAATTTTAAAAAGAAATATTGTAGAAAACAAAGTAAAATTATTGAACTCTACTAGATTCTGTTGCCTATTGAAGACTTAGAACTTGAGAGCTGCCTTTTGATCTAAAGCAAGCATGAGGGGTGTGTTAAAACACTCCAGTCTGCCCCGTCGCTCCAAGAAGAAAGTCTGTCCTGGGGTGTCTGTCTGCGACCTACCCAAGTCTGTGGCTGTTCGCTTTGCGGGTCCTGCCAGCGTGAGTAGGGCATGCTGATCAGGCAGGGCCAGTCAGCGTTCTAAGCCTGTCATCGTAAAGCTTGCTTCTGTTTCGGCTTCATTTCTTTTTAAATGATTAGACTTTTTATTTTTAGATATTTGTAGATTCACATACAGTTGTCAGAAATAATGCCGAGAACTCTCATGCACCCTTCACCCCGTTTCCCCCAAAGACATTGTCTTGTAAAACCATGGCATTATACCATACCTAGGGTGTGGACGTGGATACGATCCACAGGTCTCGCTTCTATTTCTCAGTTTTACCTTTACTCGTTGTGTGTGTATTTTCTTGCATGCAATTTTATCACATGAGCAGGTTCCACAGGGAAGATGCAGAATTCCATCCTTAAAGGGGTCTCTTGTGTCACCTTTTATAACCACGCCAAGCCCCCTCTGTTCTCTCTTCCCCCTCTAGTCCCTTGTCCCTGGCAACCACTGATCTGTTCTCTGGTTTTAAAAACTTTGTTATTTCAAAAATGTTATGTAATCAAGACAGAGCAATAAACATATATACCAACTCAAAAATAAAAGTTATGTAAGTGGAATCGTACAGTATGTAACTTTCAGAGACTGGCTTTTTTCCAGTCAGTAGCATTCATCCAAGTTCTTGGGTATATCAGTCAATAGTTTATTCCTATTTTTTAAAAGAATTATTTATTTAATTTTATTTATCATTATTATTATTTTTTAATTTGGTTCAGGACACACATGCTCACGAAAGAGAGAGAGAGAGAGAGAGAGAGAGAGAGAGAAAGCAAACCACCAGGTCTGGTACTTGAACTGAATTTAAATTGGTTGTTCCCACCAATTTAAGTTCACTGTCTGTGATCCAGTTTTTCCGCATCCTTGACAGCATTTGGTTTGCCACTGTTATTTATTTTAGTTATTTTGGAAGATGTGTAGTAATAACTCACTATGATTTCAATTAGTGTTTTTTAAAGAGGTTTTTGCCTTATGTCATGTGTTGTGCTCACTGGAGAGAGAGAGAGAGAGACAGAGAGAGAGAGAGAGAGAGAGAGAGAGAGAAGGAAAGTGAGAAATCACCGCCCGGGGGGGCAGGTAGCCATGCTGTAATCCCTTCTCCTCCATTTTCCTCCCGGGATCTTAGGCACATACATGCATAGGCTCGGCATGCTTCAAGATACTGGGTCAGGGACTTAAACTGTGATCAGCCATGTAACTGTGTCCAGCGATATAACTGCTATGCCATTGGCTGGCCCCTTAATTTGCATATATATATTTTTTTTTTGGAGAGGTTTTCGCTTTAGGGCGCGTGCGCTTGCCAGACAGACAGAGAGAGACAGAGAGACAGAAAGCGAGAAATCACCCCCCAGGGGAGATGGCCATGCCGCAATCCCTTCTCCATTCTCCTCTTGGGATCTTGGGCACGCACGCACACACGCCCGGCGTGAGTTTTAAGCCACCGGGTCCGGGACACGAACCACGGTCAACTACGTGGGAGTCCAGCGACATAGCCATTATGCTAACTGCTGGTTCCCTTAATTTGCATTTTTAATGGCTGATAATGTTGAACATCTTTTCGTGTGTTTATGTGCCATATGTCTATCCTCATTGGTGAAATATTTGTTCATGTCCTTTGACCATTTTCTAACTGGATTTTTTGTCACTGTTGAGTTTTTTTTTAATTATTTCCTTTATTTTATTGATCATTATAGTTATTTTCAATTTGACCAGAGCAAGACAGAGAGAGAGAGAGAGAGCAAGCCACCAGGTCCAGGACTTGAACCGTGGTCATCATGTGGGAGTCCAGCACCCCTAACTACCATGCCACCTGCTGGCCCTGAATTTAAAATTTTTTAAAAATTTTATTTACCTTTATTTATTATTATTACTATTTTTCCAATTTGAGTAGAGAAAGACAGAGAGAGAGAGAGAGAGAGGGAGAGAGAGAAAGTGAGAAAACAAGCCACCAGTTCTGAGACTCAAGGCTCCCAAACCGCAGTCAGCCTGTGGGAGCCCAATGCCCTTAACCACCACGCCACCTGCCGGCCCCCGAGTTTAAATTTTTTATAACAGCTTTATTGCGGTATAATTATCATACCATACAGTTTACAATCATATGTGAATTATATCTCCATAAAGTATACAATTCAGTAGTTCGTGTTCTAACGAGGTAGTACAATAACTATCACTATCTAATTCTAATTTTCATTATCCCCAAAAGAAACCCTGGGCCCACTAGAAGTCAATCCCCACCTCCATTTCCTTTAGCTCCTGGCAACCACTAATCTTTGTCTGTCTCTGTGGATTTGCCTTATTGCCTTTTTATTATAGCCATTCTAGTAGATATGAAGTGGTCTCTCACTGTGGTTTTGATTACTATAGAGTTCTGAGAGTTCTTACTTTGATACTAGTCCTTTGGCGAAATTCCAGTTGTCAATTTTTCATTTACAGGATGTGTTTTTGGTGTCAAATCTAAAAATACTTCGACTTTCTTTTAACAGTGTATTTATTCATTTCTTGAGAGAGAGAGAGAGAGAAAGAGAGAGAGAAAGAGAGACAGGATCCTTCCCTTTATGCTGTGATCCACTCCAAGCCTTTAGCCAGCTCTGCTGTATGAACAAGTGTGTTCCTGGTGTACTCAGAGAGGTCTCTGGACATGAACCTGGAACCTTCTCACATGAGATTGCCTCATAGACCATCATGTTTTACTGCTCTGTTAACATAAGGGTCTTGAGCCTTGCTTTTTTTTTTTTTCTATAGGATGCATGTACTTGCTGGAGAGACAGAGAGAGACTGGGACAGAAAGCAAGAAATCCTCCCCGTGGTGGGGCTGGCCATGCTGCAGTCTTTTCCTCTTCATTATCCTCTTGGGATTTTGGCCATACATGCACATGTGTCTGTTGTGAGTTTCAAGACTCTGGGTCTGGGACTTGAACCATGGTTGGTCATGTGGGAGTCCAGCAATATAAACATTATGCCATCTGCTGGTCCCGAACCTTGCATTTTGTAATGGCCAGCAGCATTTGCTCAGATAGAAAGCCTCATTTACAGCCCTGGAGATTCTGCTTTGTCAAGTGAAGCTGTATCAGTCCTTCCTCAAGTTGAGGACATCCGTGGTGGATATATTGCAAGTAGGGAGAAAGGAAGCAAGGGACCAGTATCTGGTCAACCATATTCCTTCCTTGGCACCAAGAAAGCCTTTTCCTTTTCTTTCTTTCTTTCTTTCTTTCTTTCTTTCTTTCTTTCTTTCTTTCTTTCTTTCTTTCTTTCTTTCTT